AGACTGTTGAGCCAAGTGCTGTTAGCGAGCACCTATGAAGGCCAGCACAGCACACGAGGGGGTGGGTGGCCAACACCACGCCCGGCCGCCTTTGTCTCCCTAGTAGCGATGTTTACACACCGCACCGGGTACTAATTTTAAGCTGAGTCGACCTAGGGGAGCCACAGGATGGGTTCAAATAATCGTCACCGGTGTTGGCCTTGAGCGGGAATCGAACCCGGGTCGCCAGTTTCGTAGCGCAATGCGCTAACCGCTACACCACCGCTCCCCCCCACGCACACACACGCACACACACACACGCACGCACACGCACGCACATTGTATATATCCACACATACACACGGTGTAAATCTATCCATCTATCTATGGACGATGTGGGTTGATGGTGGCAGGTCCAAACTTAGCGGGGCTGGGAGGGGTTCCCCTTTGAAGTGCTGGGGTCTCTTTTCATGTCACTTCAAGGTGGGAATTCCTGTCGTGATAAAGTGTGACATGTTCTCCACTCCCAACCCCCAAACACCCCCGAGGCTATGTCAGATTGTGCCCCTTTAACTCACCACTCTAGCCTGAGTGAGTATGAGTGTGTGCGCGCGTGTGTGTGTCTTTGCAGGTGGGGAGCGGTAGTGTAGCGGTTAGCGCGCTACGCTGCGTTACGAACCTGGCGACCCGAGTTCGATTCCCGCTCACGGTCAAAATAAGTGATGATTATCTAAACCGGTCCTGGGCCTCCCCTAGTTCGACTCTCTGCTCCAAAAACGCGAGACACCGCCGCACCCGGCAAATGGAACAGAGGCTGAAAAGTGTGCGAAGCGTGACGCGCGGAGAGGCGCGTGCTTGGAATGGAACCGAAGAGAGCAATGGATCGGAAAACATACTGAGAACATACTGAGAACATACGAAGAACATACGAAGAACATACGCAAGTTGGAGACGTAAAGTTGTTTTTTTTTGTTTGGGGGGGGGGGGGGGATTAAGCCGGCTTGGACAGGACACGCCACGAGAGGGTATGCTGGCCAGTAAGTCGCACTGGTTAGCTGCGTCTTCCTTATTAAGTTCGGGTTTGTTAACCTGCATCTCCGATGAGCACGGTTGTCCACGTGCGGTGCGAAAGAAGCTCAACGCACGTACGTACATACATGAAGGCTAATGAGGGAGGCGATCCGCAGCGGAGACGGGGCCGAATATTCATATTCTTGGTTCTTTTGGTAAAGTCACGTGGACAGAATAGTTGAATAGTTTAACGTGCCTGCATGCAAGCGCTAGACGGATGGGCCGTGAGAGGTGGACTTGAAATCCTGCAGTCGACAGAGCAGGGCTGACGATGACGAACCACACGCGAGCTCAGCAATGTTTTCATTTCTCAGCCTCTACTGTTTATTAAACAAAAATCCCGGGGCCGTAACCGAGGATTGAGATTCCGCAGATCTGAGCGGTTGCGAGCATCTCTCGCCACCGAGGAAGCACGTTCGGCATGGCGCGTCTCGATTCACCGTCTCGAGATGTTGAGCATTTGCTGTGGAAAATTTTTTTTTTGCATGGCACAAGGCGCTTCAGCTCAGCCGTGCTGCACTTCAAAGATCCACTGGCTCTGCTTCCCCAAAAAAAACACAATCCAGGAGCTCACTTTGCACCGTTTTCCGGCTTGCGATGAAGTAGACATTACTGCTTTAATAATAATGATAATAATGTACGTATGTATATTTGACTTGTTTCGCACCGCACGTAGTCAACTGTGCTCATCAGAGGTGCGGGGGAAGGACAATAAACTAAACACAAAAAGCAGTTCTACAGAAATGAGTTGTCAAACTCGATTATTTTAACGTGCACGGCTCCAGTCGCGTCCTAATATCGGAAGGAAGAGCGTTCCAGACGGCCGCAGAAGCGCAATCTGAAAGCGCTGCGCGATGCAAGTGACCGTCTTTGTTCGATGGCGAGCAACAACCAGCCATTTGTCAATCCACTGCTGGATGGACACAGCCGGGTGGAAGTGATGCGCACACCTGTGTTCCAGAACTGTTGGTGGCCGTAGCTAGGGTTGGTGGATCACCGCACAGACGCCGCGAAACTCCCTTCCCGTGGGCGTCGAGGAGGAGCCACGAGAAAGCGCGAAATAAAAATGTGGACTTCCGCCTTTGTGTGGGATAGAGTGTTGCACCCTCGCACTCGTTGATTTTCGCCAGGTGCTCCGGTGTCTTTCCACATGTAAGAATACTCATTCGTTTGTCGATAACCCCTTCATATATTGAGGACCGCAGAGCTTTGGGGGGAGGGGGGGGGGAAATCTGTCGCAGGCTCACTGCCTCGCTGCCGTTCCCCACTCGTCGGCGGTTCCTCCTCGCGCCTCTGCGTCGTCCTCTCCCGTGTACATCACACGGTGCACAAATAACAGGAGCGCTCAGACACATTCGTCATCAACAACGTGGCCTTAAAAAGGAACGAGTATATCATTGGCCACGTTCCAGGCATTGGCCACGTTTTTCACAGCACACACAGAGGCCAGGGAGGCGGAGTGGCCTCTCAACGTGCTGCGGAAAAGGGGCACTGCCCGAAACATCTTTTTCAGGCGGTGTGAGTGACGAATGTGTCGAGGTTGTTTTGGCATAGAGCAGTGGTTTCATAACCTGGGGTGCTTGCTGTACCCCCTGGGGGTGCGAGATGACCTTTCTGGGGAGTGCAAGACATGGCCAGATTTTATTAGAAGGTAAATCATCGAAACACAAATTGCTACAGTAAAGGTTATAAACTATTGCAGAGCAATCGCTATCCGTGGTGCTAACGTTAAAAAACCGCCACTTTTTTCAAAATTTCTTGTTGTGGTTATCACACCTGATGATAATTGCTTGTGTTGCAGTCGAAACGTCGTGATAATTTCATTGTTTTATATTTTTATTATTTTATTGTTTCCCTTCTACGTGGTGACTTCACCGAAAGAACCAAGATTATAGCAGAGCAATCAAAAGTGTACGTGGAACTCGTCCGCCATCTGCTGGCCACGTGGAGGCTTTGCACGTTTAGAATTTTTGGCAAGGAAAATTTGCACAAGATCCTGTGCAGAGCCATCGTGATGCCACCAATCCCAGGGGGCCTTGTCGGGCGGTCAATTCCACGAAAGATTGCGCAGCGAAGTTGCACGGTCTCTTCTAGGACTCGCACGTTTTGCCAACGCCTTGGCAGCTGTGACCAAATAAATGAACTATGAACTGTGTTTTTTTTATTTAAAGCTTTCGTGACTGCAGTAATTCATATTCTTAGCTCTTTCGGTAAAGTCACGTTGAAGGGAAACAATAAAACAATAAAATATATATAAAACAATAAAATATATATAAAACAATAAAAATTCTCACGACGTTTCGACCATAACACAAACGGTCGTCATCAGGTGTGAAAAGCAACGGCAAGAAACATTTGCAAACCGTCACATGTCCAAATAGGCTCACGTTGCAAAAGTTAATAGTCCATTGTATTCGTGTAACCCTTTGTTACATTTTCTCGAGATGCATTGTGGTCCTCGTACCGCGTGTGATTAAATTCCATACAGCACCACCAACGAAACGTACAAGTCCTACAAAGCAATGGGTAATACTGTACTGTTATAGAGCTTCACGATGCCCTGTGGTCCCTGTATATTGTGGAATTACATCGCAAACGGCGTCACCAAACCAAAAGTGCAGGTCCTACAAAGCACAGCACTGCAAGGTTCCCAGATGCCTTGTGGTCCTTGTAGCTTATGTGATTACATTCCACAAATCACCACAACTAAAAGTACAGGTCCTCGTGGTCCTTGCACCGCGTGTGATTACAATCCACAAATCACCACAACTAAAAGTACGGGTCCTTGTGATCCTTGTAGCTCATGTGATTACATTCCACAAATCACCACAACTAAAAGTACAGGTCCTCGTGATCCTTGCAGCTCGTGTGATTACATTCTACAAATCACCACAACTAAAAGTACAGGTCCTCGTGATCCTTGTAGCTCATGTGATTACATTCCACAAATCACCACAACTAAAAGTACAGGTCCTTGTGATCCTTGTAGCTCGTGTGATTACATTCCACAAATCACCACAACTAAAAGTACAGGTCCTCGTGATCCTTGCACCGCGTGTGATTACAATCCACAAATCACCACAACTAAAAGTACAGGTCCTCGTGATCCTTGCAGCTCGTGTGATTACTACATGCCACAAATCACCACAACTAAAAGTACAGGTCCTCGTGATCCTTGTAGCTCGTGTGATTACATTCCACAAATCACCACAACTAAAAGTACAGCTCCTCGTGATCCTTGCAGCTTATGTGATTACATGCCACAAATCACCACAACTAAAAGTACAGGTCCTCGTGATCCTTGCAGTTTGTGTGATTACTATATGCCACAAATCACCACAACTAAAAGTACAGGTCCTCGTGATCCTTGCAGTTTGTGTGATTACTACATTCCACAAATCACCACAACTAAAAGTACAGGTCCTCGTGATCCTTGCAGCTTATGTGATTACTACATGCCACAAATCACCACAACTAAAAGTCCAGGTCCTCGTGATCCTTGCACCGCGTGTGATTACAATCCACAAATCACCACAACTAAAAGTACAGGTCCTCGTGATCCTTGCAGTTTGTGTGATTACTACATGCCACAAATCACCACAACTAAAAGTCCAGGTCCTCGTGATCCTTGCAGTTTGTGTGATTACTACATGCCACAAATCACCACAACTAAAAGTCCAGGTCCTCGTGATCCTTGCAGTTTGTGTGATTACTACATGCCACAAATCACAACTAAAAGTACAGGTCCTCGTGATCCTTTCAGCTTATGTGATTACTACATGCCACAAATCACCACAACTAAAAGTCCAGGTCCTCGTGATCCCTGTAGCTCGTGTGATTACTACATGCCACAAATCACCACAACTAAAAGTACAGGTCCTCGTGATCCTTGCAGCTTGTGTGATTAATACATGCCACAAGTCACCACAACTAAAAGTACAGGTCCTCGTGATCCCTGTAGCTTATGTGATTACAAATCACCACAACTAAAAGTCCCACAGAGCTCAGCCCTGCATCCTCTCAGCCCCTTGACTTCATCCGGGTGCGGTGGAGGCTGCCACCAGCGGCGGCCTCTGCCTCGTGAAGGATCCTCGTTGGGGGTGTTTGTTATTTGTTTGTTTGTTGTTGTTCTTGTTCACGCAATTCGGGAGCGTGCAAACCCGGGCGTGGATTAAGCTTCAACCTCCACTTCGTCTGCACGGAGAGACTTGCAGCGTCTCGGTTAAGAAGCTGGCGCGCTCGGGATGTAACCGGGCAACGTTGCACGACTCCCGCCGCGGAGCCTCGGGCTCGCCTAGAACGCCTACCGAGTTGGGTGCGAGGCAGGCGGCGGGCCGCGCGGGCGTAGGTGAGCGGTTTGGCTTTATCACCCACCACCACCATCACCCCGTAGTTTATCCTCGACCGTATCAGGGCTATTGTTGTGCTGTAGTCCTATGTGTGCGTGAAGGGGTGAGGGAGAAGACAGACGCGGTGGAGAGACACGGGAGAGAGAGAGAGCGAGACGCAGAGAAGGGTTTAGACATCGAGAGAGACACAAAGGTGTCTTTGGAAACGCCGCGCTCCGACACGTAAACGCAGCGAGAAGAGAGACAGGCGGAGATTGATGTAAACACGGTAAGTTGCACGCAAGAGAGATACAGGCGTGTGTGCTGACCAGGGTGGTGAAGTATAGTCAAGACAGGCCGCCACGACTCGGCAATGGAGATACGCGGAGATGCCCCGTGACTTAAGAGGGGAATAACAGAGACGGTCGACATCGAGAGGTACAGTGATGTCGACGGGGATTGGATTAGGCTCAGCCAAGCCGAGACATCGGGGAAAACAAGGGGCGCACGGTCGGAGATTGACAGATGCGGAGACGAGACGCAGAACCACAGTGGGACATCTACAGAAGCCAACATTGGCAGACATAGAGACACAGAACCACAGTGGGACACGTACAGAAGCCAACATTGGTAGACATAGAGACACAGAACCACAGTGGGACACGTACAGAAGCCAACATTGGCAGACATAGAGACACAACCACAGTGGGACATCTACAGAAGCCAACATTGGCAGACAGAGACACAGAACCACAGTGGGACATCTACAGAAGCCAACATCGGCATACATAGAGACACGTAACCACAGTGGGACACGTACAGAAGCCAACATTGGCAGACATAGAGACAGAACTACAGTGGGACACGTACAGAAGCCAACATCGGCATTCATAGAGACACAGAACCACAGTGGGACATCTAAAGAAGCCAACATTGCCAGACAGAGACACAGAACCACAGTGGGACATCTACAGAAGCCAACATTGGCAGACATAGAGACACAACCACAGTGGGACACGTACAGAAGCCAACATCGGCAGACATAGAGACACAGAACTACAGTGGGACATCTACAGAAGCCAACATTGGCAGACATAGAGACACAGAACCACAGTGGGACATCTGCAGAAGCCAACATTGGTAGACATAGAGACACAGAACCACAGTGGGACACGTACAGAAGCCAACATTGGCAGACATAGAGACACAGAACCACAGTGGGACATCTACAGAAGCCAACATTGGCAGACATAGAGACACATAACTACAGTGGGACATCTACAGAAGCCAACATTGGCACACATAGAGACACAGAACTACAGTGGGACATCTACAGAAGCCAACATTGGCACACATAGAGACACAGACCTACAGTGGGACATCTACAGAAACCAACATTGGCAGACATAGAGACGCAGAACCACAGTGGGACACGTGCAGAAGCCAACATTGGCAGACATAGAGACACAGAACCACAGTGGGACATCTACAGAAGCCAACATTGGCAGACATAGAGACACAGAACCACAGTGGGACATCTACAGAAGCCAACATTGGCAGACGTAGAGACACAGAACCACAGTGGGACATCTACAGAAGCCAACATCGGCAGACATAGAGACACAGAACCACAGTGGGACACGTACAGAAGCCAACATTGGTAGACATACAGACACAACCACAGTGGGACATCTACAGAAGCCAACATCGGCATACATAGAGACAGAACCACAGTGTGACACGTACAGAAGCCAACATTGGCAGACATAGAGACACAGAACCACAGTGGGACATCTACAGAAGCCAACTTTGGTAGACATAGACACAGAACCACAGTGGGACATCTACAGAAGCCAACATTGGCATACATAGAGACACAGAACCACAGTGGGACATCTACAGAAGCCAACATCGGCAGACATAGAGACACAGAACCACAGTGGGACATGTACAGAAGCCAACATCGGCAGACATAGAGACACAGAACCACAGTGGGACACGTACAGAAGCCAACATTGGCAGGCATAGAGACAGAACCACAGTGGGACATCTACAGAAGCCAACATTGGCAGACATAGAGACACAGAACCACAGTGGGACATCTACAGAAGCCAACATTGGCAGACGTAGAGACACAGAACCACAGTGGGACATCTACAGAAGCCAACATTGGCAGACGTAGAGACACAGAACCACAGTGGGACATCTACAGAAGCCAACATCGGCATTCATAGAGACACAGAACTACAGTGGGACATCTACAGAAGCCAACATCGGCATACATAGCGACACAGAACCACAGTGGGACATCTACAGAAGCCAACTTTGGCAGACATAGACACACAGAACCACAGTGGGACATCTACAGAAGCCAACATTGGCAGACATAGAGACACAGAACCACAGTGGGACACGTACAGAAGCCAACATTTACAGACAGAACCCCAGTGGAACATGTAAACATTTGCAGTATAAATAGAATGACAGCTGGGAATTAATGTTGTCTGTTAACCAAACGCAACCGATTTGCCTTGTTTTGACTTTACATGTAATGTGCACTCCGATTGCATGGTGCGTGCGGGTTAGGTGCGCGTGGCACGGTGATGCCAAGATGCCAACGGTGTGGCCCACCCTGCTGGACCTGGCCCGCGAGGAGTGCCTGGGCATACTTCGCAAGCTGGGTGAGCTGAGCTGGTGGGGGATTGGAGGGAAGTCGTTTTGGGAGATGCTGGGAACGATGGGAGATATTACGGTTAAAGATTTATATATATTTTTTTGGAAACTTACAATGGAAGACACAAGCCTTAAAATTTTGCCTTAAGACCAATTTGCACCCGCATTCAGTGGCGTAACTTTACACTTTCAACTGTGCAGGGGGTGGATGCGGCAATTGGTTCAGGTGCCTCCCCCCCCCAAATATTTGATTTGCCAAAGCCAAACGTTGACTGCTCTAATTAAATTAAAATAAAACGTGGAACGTAAATGTGAACGGCGTTTTAAATGTTTTTGCTCTTTTGCTCTGTCGAAAACATTGTGGTTGTCAACAGGGGCCCCATCTAAACTAAACTTTAAAAAAAAAATACCTGGCATTCTCCTCACTCCCTTACCTATTGGATTTTCCTCTGGGTCCTCCGTTTTTTCTCTCCACATTTAGAATTAACATGCGTTTAGAGTATTTGGCTGGTTTACCTTCCCATATGATAAGCCACTTCATTGGGCTATAATTTGTGGCCAGTTTGCTTCTGAAAAAAAGCTGCACGGCTCAATAGGCCTTACCTTGTTAAAATTACAATAGTTTACCTTATTTGTGACCAGGTCGCTTCTGGAAAAAAAGCTATATAGCTAAGTGGGCCTTACCTGGCTGCCTGCGTCGTTGTGGTTTTTGTGCCCAGAGCTGGAGGCGTACGCGGCGGCTGTGAGCGCCTTGCGCGCTCAGGGAGACCTCACCGTAGAGAAGCGCGATCTGCTCAGCGAGCTCAGAAAGGTGTTCAGCATTTCCACGGAACGGCACCGCGCGGAGGTGCGCAGGGCTTACAACGATGAAAGGCTTTCCACCATCGCTTTTCAGTGAGTACGCTCGCAAGATGGGTAACTGTGCCCCATTGTTAGTTGCCTTGCCACGACTTAGTGCACTCGGGCCTTCACGAAAGTTATTTATTGACGAGGCCAAGTGGCTCCGTTTTTTTTCCTATTGTGGTAAAAATGGGAATTCCAGTGACCTAAAAAGTAGTTCTGTGAAGTCATCTTCTGCAACCAATTCTCGAACACGTGGTGTTAAACCGCTCGCCGTGACGGTTCCTAAAAATAATTCCTCTGTCGTGTGTCACGTGATCACATGACGCTGATAGCAGCACAGTTGAATTACAATTGGGCAAAACATTATTTTCTGTCTTCTTGGTTCTTTCGGTAAAGTCACGTAGAATGGAAATAAAATAATAAAAATAAAACATAATAAAATAAAATTCTCACGACGCTTCGGGCACAACACAAGTAGCCTTCTTCAGGTGAAGGAACAGAACTGTCGGGACGACAGCGCTTCAGTGAACGCTGCTAAGCTTGGCAACGTCTTTTAAGCTGGGTGGGAGGAGCAGAGCGCCTTGACAAAGGAGTTAACATATCAACAGAAGAATTTAGCATTGAAGTAGCTGTGTTAATGTGTTGGATTAGCAGGCTGTTAAAGTCAGAAATTAGCATGTAACTGGGAGATTAGCATGATGTTAGTGTGAGGGATTAGCATGTAACTGGTCACGGGAGTAGCTATGTTAAAGTCAGAGTTTACATATCAGCAGAGGCATTTAGTATATTGACGCTAAAGAACTGCAACTACCCAACTATCATACAATAAGCCGATGTGAAAGGACTAAGTATAAACTACATCAATATAATAAATGTACTCAATATATTCTTCAATAAGTTGAGCTATTAACATAAAGTAACTGGGTATACACTACACTATATAATGAATACCATATAGTAAACTGATAAAAAAACTAAAATATAACTACATCAATGTTATCAATAAACTCAATATGCTCTCCAATCAGCTGAGCTGCTAGCAATAAGTCGTTATACATTACAATTCTGTTTCAAAAAAAGGTGGCGGTTTTTTCTTTTCGACGTTAGCACCACGGAAAGCGACGAGCTTTGTTCAGACGGACGAGTCCATCTATGCTCGGAACGGAGGAGGGGGGAGACAGAGAAACAGCCACGATGCGCTGCTCTGTCCTGTGTTGCGTTACAACTATGTTATAAACTAGACTACTATACATTACAATGTTATACCTTCCAATCTAAACTACATTGTATAATATCGTATACACAGCCCAATGTAAGCTCTAACATGCATTATATTGATATGTTTCCAACTAAACTTTCTTCTACATTACACGACTATACACCGTAATATACACTGCCGTAGACAAACCCCACCCTTGAATTATACAATGCGTTACTATACACTACCCTATACTTTAGACTATAAAATATTAGACTTGTAATATTACACTATGTATTATTCTACCAACCCTACTGTATACCACACTGCTGTATATTCACTATACAATTACGATGGCCGGCCTGCTCTAGACCAATTCCTCGACCACATCAATTCCATACACCCAGCCACCAGATTTACCATGGAAGTAGAAAAAGATGGCAAGCTACCCTTTTTGGATGTCCTAATTAAAAGGAGACCTGATGACTTTACCGAAAGAACCAAGAAGATGAATCCCTGCAGTCACGAAAGCTTTAAATCGAAATTATTATTTTTTTCACCAGTGCTGCACGTCTTCCCTTCGTTACAGTTAATGTGGATTTCGCATAGAGGAGGTTACGTGGTTGGCAGCAGAGGGCAGTGCAGCCCACTCCATTGTGGTAACAAGCCAAGCTGAATAGCTTGGCAAAATATGGTCAAACAACCTCCACAACCCACGTGGCATGGGGAGGCTCTTATCCAGCCGTGGCTTGACGGAGAGGCTGTACATGTTACATACAGGGGCACTGACTTGCCCTACCCCTTTCAGATGCGCCTCTGCGGCCATGTGGAATGCTCTTCTGATATTAGGAAGCCACTCTAGCCTTGCTAGATTGAAGACTCGTTTCTTTAGAACTGCTTTTTGCGTTTAGTTTGTAGTCCTTCTCCCCGCACCTCCCATTAGCGCGGTTGGCTACGTGCGGTGCGAAAGAAGTTCAACATACTTTACATACAAACGACCGTCATGACCCACATGGCATGGAGAGGCCCTCATATGGCCGTGGATTGCCAGAGAGGCCCTACATGTTACATAGAAGAAGACTGACTTGCCCCATCCCCCTCCCTACCGCTCCACCCTCCACCGCAGCGTGTCGGGGCCCAACAGCGGCACGGAGTGGTCCATTGAGGGGCGCCGGCTCGTTCCGCTGCTGCCCCGGCTGCTGCCCCAGACGGTGCTGACGCGCTCGGCCAACTCGGCTGCCCTCGCCGTGTCCGCCCACAACTCCACGCTTCCGTCGCCGGGACTCACGGGCAACAAGGAAGGTGAGGGAGCCTGTTCCAGATTCTGGACTCCGGGTTTTTTTGAGTTTGGATGCCCATTTCGGGATTCTGCATTCCAGGTTTTGGCAACGGGGTTATATATGCCTAATGCCGGACACCAGATTATATATCCAGATTCTAGTTTCCGGATTCAGGCTACTGGTAGGCTTGGTGAATCTTAATCAGCTCCACTCGTTAAGTTGATGGGCAAATAGACACTGCATGCAAAAGTGTCCCAGATAGGCTGAGTACTGGGCGGTTAATGATATCTCATACCATTCCTGGGCGACTCCACTCTTTACAAGCCTGCACGAGCTAGCATAGTGAAGTATGGTCAGACCGACACAGCATGGGGGAGGTTTATTGAGAACGTCTGCAACTATATTGCTTTTATTAATACACGTAGAAATTTGCAGCGCAGCAAATTGCTACATGGTTAGATCCCCGGGGCCCGTGGGTGGCCATTTGGTAATGTGCACCGCTAAACTTGGGAGTATGAAGTTTTTTTTGGACTAAATTCATACAATACTTAATTAATACAATTATTTTGAAAGTTTCTCATTTTGAAACTCTCCCGGGTCTGTGAGACCAAGGTTTTCGTGCAATCGTACCACATTGCTGTGGTACGATTGCACATTTGAACTGCCGTTTGCAGTTCAAATGTTTAATATGTACCCCATAAGTTGGCATTCGAGATTTTACAGTAATTATCAAAATTACTCGTGACTTCAAGGTAATGTCACATGCTGCGAGGCAGGTTTATTCGCGGTTGTTCATTGGAATTCTCTTGATATCTTTTTGGGTTGTTTGATGTTGAGCTTGTACGCACAGGTGACAAAGATTATAAATTACGCGCGCCTACCTACATGCAACAATTACGCCGGGCACCAGCAGCGGCCAAAAAAACGTTAATCAATACACGGAGAACACGCGCTGGCTGCTGCTACATTCAGTGCCTGAAGAAGCTCCCCGGCACGTGGAGCGAAACGTTGGACATCGTGTCGAATAAAACGCGCGGCACGACCCGAAAACACATCGGGGGGGGGGGGGGGGGGGGGGTCTAGCGAACGCCGCACGTGACCCAGCACTCGCCTTCCCTAACCGATGCGGATATATTCACTCGAGACCAATAAAGCGGGGACGTTTGTCATTGCAGTGGTGGTGAGCTACAGCTATGCCAGCCCGTCCCCAATCTCCCCGACCGTGTGCACCTCACCACTGGGTGGCGCCAGCAGCAGCAGCAGCAACAACAACAACAGCAGCGGTGGTGGCGGCAGTGGCGGCGGCGTTGGGGCGGGGGCGGCAGTAGCAGCAGCGGCGGCGGCAGCGGTGGTCCCCACCAAGTCTCCGCGTCCGGTCAGCCCAGCATCGAGCGTCGTCGTGCTGCCCAGTGGGAACACCGTCTACGTCAAAAGTACGATCGCCGCAATGCCATTTTTTCACAATACGGTGCAGATTATAAAACGCGTTTTTTTTTTTCTGTATTTTAAAGCAAAAGCTGGGCTTTAAGAAGCATTCTGCGTACAGTTATGACTTGCGTCTGTATAGTCAACAATCTATTGTTGGGTGTCACCCTTCGGACACGTATGTATGTTGAAATACTTTCGCACCGCACGTAGCCAGCCTTGCTAATCAGAGGTGCGGGGGAAGGACAACAAACTAAACACAAAGCAGCATCTAGAGAACACATTGGTCTTCCGGAAGGCGTGGTTTAATCTAGTTTTTGAGATTTTTTTTCCGGAAGACGGTTCTCGATAGCAAAATATATTACCACCCAAAAGAAGGCCGGTACCAGCTGATCACATAGCTAATCAGATAGCTTAATAATCATCTTCAGGAGATGACTTTCCGTACTCGTACATTATCTTCAAAGAGAGAATCTGAGATTCTCACAGGATTGTCCAATCCAGGAGAGCCGGGATTGACAGTCTTAGCAAGGCTGTCCTGGGTATAATCATGATTTTATATACAGCGTCATGCTAATTGCATCCCACAGTGCTCTACATTGATTATATATGAGGGCCCAAATCCTAAAATAAAAATGAATACATGAATGGCACCAAAACAATAAAGGGCACGCACATCACAACAGAGAAAGATTAGAGCCCATTGAGTCTCCACATCCCAGACCACAATCCCAACATCTCACACAAGCCAGGAAACCTACACAGGAGAGGTGGTGAAGTGCCAAAAAGGTCTGACATAATTTAGGCTAATCGCTCAAATGTCCAAAATGTGGTTTCCTACTTATCAGCATACGCCCGGATGAATGAAAAGGCCTTCAGTTCGGAATTGAATAATGTGCAATGGAGCGATTTGTCGAATATTGACATTGCGTTTATTTTGTGTTTAGTTTGTTGTCCTTCCTCCGCACCTCTGATAAACACGGTTGGCTACGTACGGTGCAAAAGAAGCTCAACTTGCATACATACACGGGACATACTTAATCCTGGTAACTAGACATCACCCATTCCACCGGCTGCGCCCTTTTTCAGGCGTCAGCTGCTCCGAGGACGACGAAAAACCCCGCAAGAGGCGTCGCACCGACTCGTCGGGCTCCCCGTCGCTCGCTCTGAGCGACGGCACACTCCGGCTCGCCACGTCGCCCTCGCCACAGCCGCCGGCACCGCTGCCGCCTCCGCCACCGCCGCCGCCGTCACCCGCCACCGCCACCGCCATGCTCACCAGCCCCACCGCCGTGTCGGCGGGCCACCCAGCCTTGTCAGGGCCGAAGGTCGGCGTCTCCGTTACGGCCGGGTCGCTGTTTTCCGGCGGCAGCGGCGGCGGCGGCGGCAGTCAAACACAGCAGCAACAGCAGCAGCAGCAGCAGATGTTGAAGCAGCAGCAGCAGCAGCACACGCACCACATGTCGCCCGTGAAGATTACGTTCACACGGCCCGTCACGCCCACCACGGCGAGCTCCACGCAGAAGGTGCGCGACGTCACCGTTTATTTACGGTGTCTCGGGGAAGAACGCGTGTGTCTGTGTGCGTGTGTGTGTGCGTGTGTGTGTCTGTGCCGTTGTCTGGAGGGCCTTTGTGGCGGATGCCTGTGATGTGGCTTTGTGGAGCCAACGGTTGGTGGATTGCGTCTAGATTTGTGAAACTGACAAATGCGCTCTGCGGTCCGCTAGGTGGTCATTAGATGGCAGTACATGGAACAGCCGTACATGCACCCAACATATAACGTTTTTATTTTGTTTTCATACATTTTTCTCCAGACGCTCCGGCAACAAAACAATTTTAACCTTTTAAACTCTCACCCATTTCTCCCGGTGCCACCAACCAACTTCCCTCTGTCCTCCGCTAAGCCCCCTCCGCTCCTGTCTCTCCCTCGTGTCTCTCCCGTCGCCACGCCGACTCTAGGTGATAATCGTGAGCACCACCGCGGGCCCCACCTTCCTGCCGGGCATCCTGTCCAAGCCGCACGGCCTCGTGCAGCCGGGCGGTGGCGCCGCCGCTCCCCAGCACCGCGCGCCGCCCGTGCTCATCGCGTCCAGCTCGGGCGGGCACGGCGGCCAGCCCCTGCTGCTGGGGGCGCCCATCGCCGTGGCAACCGGGTCCTCGGCCGCCACCGTTTCCGTGGCGACGAGCTCGCACGCCGCCCTGCACCAAGGTGAGTGGGGCTTGAGCACGTGGGCACGCGCGCTGCGGCGGTTGGCTCCGCCGGGCTGTGAGCCCCCGGCCAGCCGAGTTTGATTCCTGCTCCCGGCCAACACCGGTGACGATTATCTCAACCGGTCCTGGGTCCTCCCGTAGGTCAACTCAGCCTTAAGTGAGCACCTGGTGTGATGCGTAAACATCGCCGCTAAAGGGAGACAAAGGCGGCCGGGCGTGGTGCTGGCCACCCTCCCTCTCGTGTGTCGTGCCGGCCTTCATAGGTGTTCGGTTAACAGCACTTGCACCAATAGTCTATTAAGGCTATACGGGGGATCTTTGGTGGAGCGATGGTGTAGTGGTTGCCACAGCTGCACTAATATTGGGAGGGGGGTTGGGGGGAAGCCAGTGACAAGAAATGTAATTCTAGGTGCGACATCATTACGCACGTTTCAACGGCTTGAAATGAAACGTCGAAACGTCGGAGCCGAAGTTGAATGTGAGGGATGCGCGGGTTGCGGCCGTGGCAGGTCTGAGCGCGGTGGCGGGCGGCAAGGTGGGGCCACCCGCCAAGGCGCCCGTCATGGGCCCCGCTCGAGCCGTGGCAACCAACCTGCCACAGCAGATGGGCACGGGCAGCGGAGGCGGACAGAGCGCCGCTCAGAAACCCACCATCCAGATCAAGCAGGAGTCGGGTATCGTCCGCCTTCACTCGCTCGTTCTGCGTGTTCTATTTTCTGATTCGGACATCACTCGCGCTTTCATTCACTCATGCACTGGCGCTTTCGGCAATTCATTGTATCACTAATGTTTTTATATCACTCAAATCACTGACACTTTCAGTCATTCGCTCATGTGTTTATTCACGCTCTCATTATTCCTTTAGGCTACTCATTTGTTTAAAATTTCATTCGCTCCTTCTTTGACTCATTCATTTATATGCTTGCGCTTGAATTCACCCATTCACAATTTCATTAAAGTGTCTGCTGCTTCATTCAAACGCAAATTCTCTTGTCTCTTCACGTGTTCATTATTGCCTATTGTCACTGGTGATTTGGTTGTGCGTATTTTTATTGTCATGCTTTTCCCGAGTACAACAACATGCGACGTTTATCGAACGACCCACACGGCCGACGCGGCACAGGGGCCTTCATCCAGCAGTGGATTGATTGACTATGGGCGGCTCTAAATTAATATTTTCAGTTTCGCTTTCGGTATTGTCATGCAAGACAAAATGCGCATCAATTCGGACCTCTCCACACTGCGTTAAACGGTGAAGCCCCTGGAAGGTGACGTGAAAGAACTACTTCCGAAGTCTCTTCGCTAGTTTGCCGTCGCACACACGAGGTGGCGTTCCCTGTCGGCGTTTAACGCGGGACTCTGCAATCGCTCCACGCACGTCCGCGCATGCCACTCCCACGCTCAAGCAGGCGTGAAGATCATCACGCAGCAGCTGCCGCAGAGCAAAATCCTACCGAAGCCGGCCGGCGTGGCAACCACCGCGGCGCCTATCATGGTGGTGAGCAACCCGGCTGCCGTAGTGACCACTCGCCTCGTCACCGCGCCAACGGGTACGCTCCCCCCCCCCTCCGCCCCCGTCACGCTGCCCCGGCCTCGCGCTCCTCACGCGCGTCTCGAGACGGTTCAGTTCTCCCGTGGAAAGAAAACGCACGTTGGAAAGCGTTGCGGAATTCACACGCGAGAAGGCGACGTCCGTCCGTGCGTGCGTGCGTCCGTCTCGTGCAGCAGTCAGCTCCCGTGTGGCATCGCCGGGTCCCACCTACCTGAAAACGACCAGCGGCAACATCATCACGGTGGTGCCCAAGTCGCTGGCGTCATCGCTGGGCGGAAAACTTCTGAGTTCCACCGTCATGTCCGGTGAGATTCGCACACCTGAGATGCGAGGCGACGCTTCGCCCGCAGATGCGCGCCCTCCGCGGTTGCGTGTCCTCCCGCTCTGTGAGCGGAGAAACGAGTGAAGCGAAAAACAATTGCCCCGCAGGAGTAATGTCACGATAAAACTTGGTGAGACACGATGCACGCACACCGCGCACAACGGTAAGGTGGCGGGACGAATAACTTCAGGGTATGCCGACGTGTGACTGCATCACTCCGCGTACTGTATCGCACGGCTCGGCCTCGCAGTTCGAGAAAGCAGTTCGCAGTCGACCGCGTTATAACGGTGCGCGCTCCGCATTGTGTGAGAACCGCGTGAAAGCGAGAACGCATCGTGCGGACACCGACGCCTCAAACGGGGACGTTAGGCGTTGGCCGTATTTTTGTTGTTTTATTTTTTGTTGTTTTTATTTTTTGTTGTTTTATTTTTTTACCTACGTGACTTTACCGAATAGAACCCCAAAGACTGTGGATCCTTGCAGTCACGAAAGCTTCAAATCTAGAGTTGGCCGTCTTGTTTATTACTTTCGTCGTCGTTCAACAATGCAGGCACAACAACGAAGATCACGACCATTCCGGTGTCGATGGCGTCCAAGTCGAACGTGATCGTGGTGCAGAAGGCGCCCGGCAAGGGAGCGTCCATCCAGGGCCTCGCGGGGAAGAGCGTCGTCACGACGCTGCTGGGAGCAGCCAGCATGGGAGGAGCGGTGAGTCTCCGCACGCGTGTGCCGCTCAACCCCCTCCCACCCTCTCTTCATCTCTCTCCATACATCGTACCATACACAACAAGCTGGGCAAGGCAGCCCCAGTCCAATAACGGAGCCTCAAACATGGACATTAAGAAGCGCACGCAAGTTTAATCGTTAATTCATCCACCGCGCATAGTCAGCGAAGGACCCACGCTGCGCCAAACGTGTGACCTCTTGCGACAGCATTCGCTTAAACTGCTCTTGGCTGCCATCCATACACCGGCGTTTCAAGTGATTTGTTTGATACACGGATCACGGGGGAGATGGGCGACAAAGGGGGATGGCGCCATTCCTTTGAAGGTCGCGGTCCATTTCGAAGCGTGAAATTTTTCTTGAGTTTGCGCAATGTTATGAATAATCCATTCAAAACTCTTATGGGGCAATGCGTCGGCCCTGTGGTAGAGAACGGCCCATAGAAGCGGTTATTGCAAAGCTACCTCTTGAGATCGAGTGATTTTTAGTTCACGCACTAGAGGGCAGCACCTTACCACCCACCCTGCTGCTGTCTTTTAAAATTCATACGTGACATTCTCAGAGCCGGGAATTTACCCAATTTTAAGTGTCAAACCAAATTTTATGTAATGGGTATTCATTTTATATTTTTTTTGCACAGTCATTGGTGAACGGGCTGAGCCTGTCAACTCGCTGCACTCGGGGGGAAAACCGGTTGTTTAATCGCAGCAGAACTGTTACCCGGATTTGAACCCAGGAGCTCAGCTGTGCCAGCTCAGCACTCTTGATGCTCTTGAACCACTCGGCCAACATCGGCAATCATTTTTTTTATTAAAACTTACAGCAGTAAGTCGATAGAAGGGATAATGGCTGGTGGTCCGCACCTCCGATTAGCACGGTTAGCCACGAACGGTGCGAAAGAAGTTCAACATACGTAGAGACGGAGTGGCAGCCAAGCAAGGAACATTTCCGTGTTGACGTCCGCCACGGAGATGCAGTGGTAAAAATCATCTCGCTCGCGGTGGAAGGAATCCGATGAGCTATAAAGCTCTCTTTAACAGATGTCTAGTGGTTCACATATGTCCAGTAGATCTTGGCTGATGATGATTATAATGATGGTGATAGCAATAACAGCACCTCACTCTGAAATCGGTTGAACTAATTTCCTTTCAAGCAGACTCAGAGAAGCGTCAGAATTCATGGCAACATTTTTCCCTGTTGTGATTTACATTGAGTAGCGCTCCTCTGCATTTACGGCTCTTAGTCGTCCCGGTCATCCGAGCCGGTGGTGGAAATTTCACATTCCAGGCAGGTACCACTGTGTAATTGTCGATATCCAACATTGGATCAGCGATCAGGGCCATCAGCGGAGAGGATCAATGTTGGCAGATGCACCACTTTCGCTTGTGACTGACTTAGAGGACGTGATGAGTCACACGGTGAAAAGAAAACCAGTGTGGTAAGCTTTAGTAAGCCGGTGATGCATCATCAGTGTAAACATAGAGCCGTTTAGTCAGACCACTGCCGGATGAGAATATCCGCGTGCTACTCACTCCGGCTTGGTGAAAGCCGGGATGCATAGAGGTGGGAGCATAGGGAGTTCGATACAATATTGGAGTTTGATACACTGCCCTCTGCTGCTCACGCTGTATCCCCACGGCCAATAACAACTTGCCGTGCATGATGGTTTCCTGTACCAGACTTCCCCTTCAGCTCGCCCTTACCGGCATGGGGAAGTACGGTCAAACAACCCCATGACTGATGCTCCATGGGGGGGGGGGGGGGGGGGAGGGAGGGCCGTCATCTAGGAATGGATTGACAATGGGCTGTAAACAAATTAATATTCCTGTGATTTCCACTCCGTCACAGATGTTCCTACCCACTCATCCATTTCCTGTTTTGCAGAAGACGCCTCCTCTTATTCATATTCTTAGTTTTTTTCGGCAAAGTCAACTAAGAATATGAATTACTGCAGTCACGAAAGCTTTAAATCAAAATTTAAACGCCTCCTCTTGTCGTCAAGTGCCTTGAGTCGACGTTGAATTTCGTGCGTGCCGTGCAAATGAATCTTTGCGCCGTTTGATCGCGCGGTTGAACGGGTCGTGGACGTCCGCCCGTGTGTTTTTCAGCATGGCAGCGGTTGGGTTAATGGAAAACATCGGCGGCAGGACCGTGGCTTACCACGTTCACTGCCGTTCGGAGGCTCCACATGGTACCAGTTAGTAGGCTCGGCGCCGTGGCTGTTTTTCACTTTGACGGGTTTTCTCCGCCTCTCCGTCTGAGCCCTAACTGAGTAACGTCATGACGCATCCCGTAGATGACCTCGCTATTTTCACAGTGCTCACGTGCCGTCCGGTCCGTCTGTACGCCGTGTTCGGCCTGTGATTACTCGGCGCGTTGGCTGATTGCATCAGTGGACTGTGATCTTATGTACCATCACGGCCGGAAAAATGGCGAAACATTGTTCGCGGTTACCTTTCACGTAATTTCCACCTTTCCCTGTGTACGCGCACAGCCCTGTTATGTCAATCCACTGCTGGATGAGATTATCTTCCCATGTCTTTGGTGGGGGCGAGTACAGCAATGCATTCTAATGTCTGCAACGTAGTTTCACAGCCTATACCGAACCTGCTGTACGCATGGCTATGACTCATCTAAGCACTATCAAAGCTCAACCCTACTTATCTCCGGGTGATACGGTCATTTGGCGCAACTGAAAATCAAACTTTATGGTGCTGCTACTTTGACCGTCGCATATTTCCAAGCGTACGCCAAAACATTTACCCTGCTGTCTGGCGCAAGTGTTGTGATGGGCGATGGCTGCGTCGTGCCCTTTACAAGGGAAATCTGGGTGTCCCGAGGGTCGTAAAAAGAAAACATTTGGATGGCCAGGCAGCTTAAGCAGTCAGAGCATCAAGCTGGCAATATCGTGAGCTCTTGGGGTCAAATCCAGCTTTCAGCCGCCAGTGATTAAACACTAACCTGAAGTGTAGCATGTTCTGGGGCACTACGGCGGTGAGATGTTATCTCCCTCGCCTGGTATGCAGCAGGTCGTGGGTTTGATCCCGACTTTGGCGCCTGCTGCTGTATATTTGGAGTTTGCATGTTCTCCTTCGTGGTCGTCTGGATTGTTCTCCGGGTCCTCTGGTTTTTCGCTCCACATTTAGAAACGACGTGCATTTAGAGTATTTGGCTGCTATGAATTTCCATGCAACAAGCCACTTCGTTTATGTCCAGGTCGCTTCTGAAATATAGCTTTGCAGCTCAGTGTGGGGCCTTACCTGGTAAAATTAAAATTGTTCAGTTACCAGTGACAGTGCACAACAAACCCGTGACGTCACACGTGGGTATATCGCTCTTTAATTTTGTATCAAGTCAAGGGGCTTACACGAAGGGATCTCCGAAGTTGTTATATGGTCATGTGTCTCGGTTGACGGGGCCCATTCTCGAGCGCACGGGGTGATGCGCCGCTCTCTGAATGGATAGTTCATCGCACGACACGACGCCGATGGAGCAATTGCGAAGAGTAAAATTGTGAAAGCGGCAATTCATGAATATGCAGTTAACCTCAAGAGCGTCTCACTTGTTCAAAAACAGGGAGGAGCGTGCTTGACGCTGACGATGGCGATGATGGTCGTGGTTATGATAAGGCTCACCATGATAGTGAGAGCATTAATCATGGTAATGTTGATACTGTTAATGACGATGATAGTGATGATGATGTTGGTAATGATTTTGAGGCTCGACATGCTTTATAATGGTGCCAGGAATGATGATGATGATGATGCTGCTGGTGGTGATGATGATGATGAGAATAATGATAATGATTGATGATAAGTGCTTCCTATGATATTTTAGATGGACTAGAGATGTTAAAAAAAATACTGCACGGCGCTCTGAAGCCCTTTGTTGGGGTCTGCTGCATCTTACAGAAACGTAAATAATAATAATAATGATCACGACAGTGACGGTAACGCTGATGATGTCCTTGTCGGTGGTCGCGACGGTGACAACGATTGGTGGCGGTGGGCAGGGCGAGAAGGGGCTCCAAGGAACGTCGTCGGGGCTGAAGCCGACCATCCTGACGACGGCACGGTCCGGAATCAGCGGCGGCGGCGGCGGCACCATCTCGAAGATGATCGTGACGCAGAACAAGCCGGGCGGTGTGCCTCCCATCCCCGCCGCCAAAATCCTGCCGCCCAAAAACCCTTACACGCAGCCCCAGGTGAGCGGAGTCGTGTGGCCGTGGCTACCCAAGGCCAGCTCACAGGGCCGTCTATAGGGGGTGGGGGAGAGCGGTGCGGGGCCTGGGGCAAGTCACCACCGCGTGTGCCTCCTCCCCACCGACGCCACGGTGGCTAGGAGATGTCAACTACCTTGCCTGATCCCGACCCTGACGCCTGCTGTTTATTTTGAGTTTGCGTGTTCTCCCCGTGGTCGCGTGGATTTTTCTCCGCGTCCTCTGGTTTCTTCCCCCCACATATAAAATCAGCATCACGCATCTTAGAGTAATTCGGCTGCTATAAATTTCCACGCGGCGATGAGCCGCTCCGTTTTGCTATCATTTGCGGCCAAGTCGCTTCCGGAAAAGAGCTACCCAGCTCAGTGGGCCTTACCTGGTCAAATAAAAAAAAAAATGATAATCGTTTTTAATCGTTTAAACTGCAAGTATTACATCTGTGACATCGATGCGTGGGCCCACCCCCCAAAGCGCATTGACCCCTGATTCACCGTGCGACCCTAGGGGACGGCTCTGCCAGTTCACACCTCCGGTCTCCCCCCCCCCCCCCACATCCCCCCACTTTGTATTTCGCTTCGCGACCTCGCGACAGACAGTTCCCTCTGCCGGGCACGAGTCCGCCGCTCGCGACGACGAGAAGACGGCCGATTTGAAATCGATTGCCGGTGCCTCTTTGAGAGCAGCCGGCTGGGCCCCGGCTTGTTCATGAGCATCCTCTGGATTTGTTTTTTTTTTTCCTCCAAGCCTGTGCCAAGCGCGGGAGCGTGCGCTTGCGGGCTTTGCGTCGGCACGGCGGATAGCGCCTGTGCTTCAAGCGACACGCGTGTCAGTGTGCAAAAAAGCAACCACAGCCCTCTCTGTACTTGCGCAAACGCCATCAGCATATCCTGAGCAAAATCTCACCGACAGCAGCAGTGGATGCAGTGATAGACAACCGTGGACTGGTTTCGTCCTTGTTACGCCTCATCAGCACAGTTTAGTCACGGCAGTGAGCAGTGAAGGATGATTGTCTTTGATGCTACACAGCAAATACGATACAGTGGGGATTTGCATATCGAGACTCTTTACAATGGTTGTGTTTATTATGTAGAGAGAGGCAGGCAGGCATAGGGAGAGGAAAAGAGGAAGGTCTTGAGTCTTGTACTTGAACAGGGAGTCGACAGCATGGATGGCTGGGCGAGGGATTTCCACGCCCATGGGGGTAGTAGAGGAGAATGAGCGACCTCCCACTAAGCGTCGGTTGAGTATGGGCTTCGACAGAAATATGCGGTGGCTGGGGCAGAGAATGCATGGAGGGGGATATATAATATTTATAAAAATTGATTTATTTAACCAGGTAAGGCCCACTGAGCTATATAGCTCTTTTTCAAAGCAACTGGCTGCAAATGATTGCTCAACATAGTGTCTTATCAACGTGGAAATGTATCGCTGCCAAATACTACAAACGCACGATGTTTCTAAATGTGGAGGGAAAAACTGGAGGACCCGGAGAAAAGATCCACGCGACCACGGGGAGAGAGAGAGAGACACGCAAACTAAAAATATACAGCAGGCATCAGAGTCAGGATCGAACCCACGACCTCCTGTATACCAGGCGAGGTAGTTGACATCTCCTAGCCACCGGCGCCACATATTTGTAAACCGTTACGGCAAATGCAGCATTGCTTAAATACTTTACAGTTCGGGGCAGTGGTATTTTTAATCCAGCGCTCCTGGCAGAAGGTGCTCTAAGTCTTTTAACATAAACACTAACAAAGCGTGACTTACAACCATTACCTTATTAGGCCCCAGAGTTAGCACAGGCTCGCGTCTGTGATGTATGACGCTGTGCTGAGGTTACGATCGCTCAGCTCGGCTCGTCGCCAAAATGGGAACGCTCGGGCCTCTGTCAAGAGTTCACGTTGGGTTCAATTTGGCTCGGAACCCAAGCTCGTTGCATTCCACATCCAGACGGTCTGCAAACAAACTGTAAATCACTCCCGGGCCCACGTGCTCCCTTGGTTGCGATCATTAGTAAAAAGATTCAGGTGTCATCATTGCCAAAGCCATCGCGAGTGCTTAACAGCGTAATGATTTACAGCTCTCTCAATCCACTGCTGGATGCGGGCCTCCCCCGCGCCCGTTCATATGTGCGGGTTGGCGGTCACTGGCATTGTTTCATTTCACGTGTACTTTCTGATGTTGTTTTCAATTGGAAAACCCATTCCAACAAAATGTGGCTGATTTTACAGCCCTTAAACTTGTACTGTACACGCACATGCCGCTAGGATTGGAACAAGGCATCGGTTCAAGGCTACGCTTAGGCATCGTGGTGGGTAGCGGGTGAATTTTATGATGGTTCTGTGGGTCCCGAAAGTCACTCTGCGTTCTGCCAGAGCGCGCGGGCCATCTTGTTGTCGTGCAATGCCCACGCTCATTCCAAAAATAAATAGGAAATGAAGCGCTGTCACGGGAAGTTGCCGCTTCCGCAGATTTCTTTGAGCAAACTGAACTTTTTTCCCAACGGCCCACGTGACCACCGGTCGGTTGAATTCGTTTTTCTCACTCAGTCCACGGCCAGGTCAACCCGCCGACGTTCACACGACACCGGCTGCGTGACGGTGGCAAATTATTTGTCCAGCGCAAATGTAGCTCGTGGTCTGCAGTTGATGTTTACCACCCCACTGATGTTGTGAAACGCAGCGACTTTAATGCCGTAATCCAGGACTATTCAGCCGGTAGTCCGGCAGCCAGATATGGCCTTGGGGAGTGGCCCACTGAGATGGAATATGTATGCACGATGAAATTCTTTCACACCGTACGTAGCCAACCGTGCTAATCGGAGGTGCGGGTGGGGGGCTCACACTTGTGTTGAGGATGATTCGTTAATTGTTGATGATATCGCTGCTGCTGCTGCTGGTGGTAATGATGGTGATGATGGTGATGATGATGATGATGGTAATGATGGTGATGATGGTAATGATGGTGATGGTTTCCCGTACTTTCAGGTGCTGATTAAGCCAAAGCCCATTGCCACGACGATGTCGATGGTGGGGGTTTCCGTAGCGACGGCCACGCATGATGCAGACAGTACAGGCGCTGGAGATGCAGCAGCAGATGAGGACAGGGGGGAGGAGATGGATTCTTCCATTGCCATGGAAACGGGCACTACCATCTTGCAAGGTGAGCGGCGGCGGTAACGCCCACTTCTTCGCGTTGTGCGATAACCTGACGTGACGTTTATTTATTAAGTAACCACCGCGCTCGTAGTCACCGCATGCATTGCGCGGCTCTTGAAATTTTGAGGGTTTTTTTTGTTGTTTACCGAATTCAAACAAAAATAGCTCCTCTTCTTAGTTTTGGTTTGGTCTGTTTTACCCAATAATTGGACCCAGTTCTCTTGGACATGAGAGTGCGGCTTGTTGTATGATAAGAAAGACATCGTAACAAATGGCCCGTAGAGGAGGCTCCCTCTCGTGCAGGCTCACCTGCCAGCAGTGGCGTAGGCGAGCAATCGCGGGGCTGGGCCTTGACCTGTACCACACGACACGGCCGTTATTAACTCCCAGAGTTATTTCGCAGCCGCGAACAAATGAGTGCGTCTGGTACTTGCGACCAGTCTTGCGGAACAAAGGCGCCAACGGTTTACATTTCGTTCGCTTTACAGAACATTTCCTGACTTTAGTCTTAGGCAGAACTAACTGGCGGAGAGTCGGTGACAAAGTCGACGACAGGGACCGGCAGCGAGTTCCACCGCAGATGGCTCAGACACTGCAAGAGTGAGCCAGTGGGTGGGTGGGTGGGTGTGCCAGTCAGTGGGTGGGTGGGTGTGTCAGTGGGTGGGTGGGTGGGTGTGCCAGTCAGTGGGTGGGTGGGTGTGTCAGTGGGTGGGTGGGTGGGTGTGCCAGTGGGTGGGTGGGTGGGTGTGCCAGTGGGTGGGTGGGTGGGTGTGCCAGTGGGTGGGTGGGTGGGTGTGCCAGTGGGTGGTTGGGTGGGTGAGCCAGTGGGTAGGTGGGTGGGTGAGCCCGTGGGTGGGTGGGTGTGCCAGTGGGTGGGTGGGTGTGCCAGTGGGTGGGTGGGCAGGTGTGCCAGTGGGTGGGCGGGTGTGCCAGTGGGTGGGTGGGTGTGCCAGTGGGTAGGTGGGTGGGTGTGCCAGTGGGTGGGTGGGTGGGTGTGCCAGTGTGTAGGTGGGTGTGCCAGTGGGTGGGTGGGTGAGCGACTGGGTGGGTGAGTGGGTGAGTAATTCAATGAGTGAGTGAGCGCTGAGTAGTTGAGTATATGGGTGAGTGAGTGGGTGGGCGAGCAAGTAGATGGACCAGACACCGCAAATCTGGCTGGGGGGGGGGGGTGGCGCGTATCTCGACGCCCCTGCTGCTTGTGTGCCGCGCCGCCGACCATTTGTCTCGTCAAAGAGTGCGTGCCAGGCTGGAGAGACGCCATGGACGTGAGCGAGGCTTCGGCAGCTTCCCACTCGGCAACCTCCACCATCCGGGCCTTCATGGAGATGCAGAAGCCTGGAGGCGTGTACCCGCCCCTCCCTCCTCACTGCCTGCTGGGAACACTGGGCAGCAAAGCGTCCCGCAGTGTGTTTACGCGCCGCGCTGCCTTGCGGGGCCCTCGTGCGAACGCGGGGGGTTTGGGGTTCGTAGGAGGTGCCTTGCGTGTACTTGTGGAGGGCGAAGGGGTTTGGCTGAAACGGGGCACGTTCAAAGAGGGCACTTGCCAAACCCCCCTCCCCTGCTGGGCTGCGATGTGCCCACGAGGTGGCGGTACAGAAAGTGGGTTCACTCATTAAAAACAATTTAACACGTGGGCTTTCGCGACCAATATTGTCCGTAATAGAGGTGTTTTTGGGTTAGGTCGCATAAATATATAAATGTATCGTTAAACCAGCCACCACCCGACACAGCCAATTAGTAAGGTTTGTCATGTAAACAGAACGTGCCGTTACTAGTACAGCACACCGGTGTTTTTAGGGAGTAAATTACTGGCGAAATATTGTACCCAAATTGTAAATGTTGTGGGTTTACTCTCCAACACACCGGCGTGCTGTACTAGTAACGAATTGGTACGTTTTGTTTACGTGACAAACCATGCTAATTGGCAATGTTATCGGGTGGTGGCGAGTTTAAACACACTTATATTTACATGATCTAACCCAAAAACCTCTATAGTGGGAATTAAAAAAAAAAATGGTCCAGAAGTCACGATGCCCAGGAACCACTTGTAGTGGGAGTCTAGAGGCTGAGTGAGATTTTCTTGAGTAAATATATTCAAGAATTTTTATCACAAATGTCAGATGATGGTTTCAATTTAGGCCATGGTCAATATAACTACAACTTTATTATGACCACTACCCATTTTATAATAGGTAATGTGTCCTTTTTGTAATAGAGTATATATAAAACAAGTGAAGGATCTGGTCAATGACAATTTCCTCTGCTCAAAACGATGGCTGGCTCGGTTTTTGAAATGTACATTGCGAATTGTAGGAAAATGTGAGTATTGATAATGATGACGGTAAAGTGTGGGTTTCTATGGTGAACTTCTTTCGCACACCGTTTGTAGCCAACCGTGCTGATATTTTCTTTTACCACAAACAACGCAATTCCTGTCCTATAAAATATATATATCACTGACTAGTTTACAGTCGTTCAATAACAAACAAAATGCAAGGGTAATCAATGGGTTGCTGTGTTGTTGTTTTTTTTAAGTGCACGGGGGAGCGGTGGCGCAGTGCTACACGCACTACGAATCCCGCAACCCGGGTTTGACTCCAGGCAATGGCTTAACATCAGCGTGAAAGCGATATGCGAACCGGTACTGGGCTACTCCTTTTTTCACCATTCTGGCCTGACCAGCATGGTGACGTATGGTCAAACAAACCCACCTTATGTATGCATGTCTGTTGAACTTCTTTCGCACCGTACGTAGCCAACCGTGATAATCGGAGGTGCGGGGAAGGACAAAAATCTAAACGCAAAGGAGCAATTTTGTGTTTAGTTTATTGTCCTTCCCCGACAGTGTAAACCTTCATTCACCAGTGTATTGAGTGACTAATGGCTGTAATTACCATTATTAGTGTTAATAGACACTGTTATAATTGTGTCTGTGGCCATAACGATCGACTCGCAATCTGAAAGTTGCGAGTTCAGTTCTCAATCAACTCAGCCCATCATCACAGCTGGGTGGATAAAAACGAGTACCCACCATTTTGCGACAAGTGAACTCCAGTCACCTTGTGCAGAGGCTTGTTTGCCGCCATGAGAATCTGGAATTTCCACGATTGGCTAAGGGGTGCCGATGTATGCAGGTGCCGTGCCATTGCTCATTTGAGAAGCGGGACAATGAGTCGATTAAGTCGACCAAGAATAACGATCGACTACTTAGTTTGTGGCCGATTACTCGGACCCCTCTTTTTTTTAAATGGCCACCCCCCCCCCCGCAATCATGCTTCCCGAAGGCTGGAAACTCTCCAACAATCCACGGCCAGCACGGTGCGGCAGACGATGCCGATGACGTCAAGCCGCGACCTTCTTTGGCAAGCGCTGAGGCTTTGTTTTTCCCAACTTTTGAGCGTTTAGTGCGATTAGTCGAGTTGCCGAGCCGACGGTCGATTTACGAAAATAATTCGATTTAGGCCGGCTCTAAACTTTTAAGTGCTGATTCTCCTTTGCTCTGACCCCCCCCCGCCCCGCAGGTCGGGACAAGCCTCGCATGCCAACCATTGACCTGAGCCACATGGTGATTCCCGTCGCCAGGGGAACAGATGTTGTCGTCACGACAACCACGGGCGACCGGACAAACCGCACGGTCACGGCCAGCATCAAGGTACGTGTTGGCAATTGGATAAGCACGCAGCGCTCTATAAGGGCGCCACGGTGGCGAGATGTTAACTACCTCACCAGCTATACAGGAGGTCATGGGTTCGATCCCGACCCTGATGCCTGTATATTTGGAGTTTGCACGTTCTCCCTGCAGTTGTGTGGATTTTTCTCCAGGTTCTCTGGTTTTTGCCTCCACGTTTAGAATCAACACGCATTTAGAGTATTTCCGCATGATGAGAAGCCACTTCGTTGAGCTACCATTTGTGGCCAGGTCGCTTCTGAAAACGAGCTGGATAGCTCCGTGGGCCTTACCTGGTAAAATAAAAAATTGTTTGAGTTTTATCTTTGTCGTAAGTCGACGGCAGTCGGCCTACGAATTGACTGGCTCCCAACTGTGGGAATGTGGAATTTTAAAAGCTGTTTACAGGCCACCGGTAGTTTCGAGTTGCTGCCTTATGTGCATTTGAAGCACGGACATTCGCAAGATGGAATTAAAGCCAGAAAAATGTGCAAAGAAGATATGCGTGGTTGGAATTACATGGAGAGACAGGAAGAGAAAGGCAAATATTAGAAACATGCTGTTACGAGACACCATGTTGACTGTCACAAAAGTAGATTGGCCTGGGCGGGACACGGCACTAGAAGGTGGTCGAAACTGGCGACGGAGTGGCAGCCAAGGGAGGGAGCACGCACGGGGCGGACGTCCACAGCGGAAACGGACTGTGAGAAATTGTGCGATGGTTTTCGCGATGCATGAATGCAGCCCCGCAGTGGATATATCATGGTCCGGTTACGACAGTGGTGTAACATTCATGGACTTTGGCGGTAATTGTGTTTTGTTTCTTTGCCCACCACAAATGTTCTCAGACACAAGAGGGGGTGACCATGGTGGGCACAAGGGCCCCGAGCGATCACGACTACCCGGGAGGCGAGGACGGAATCCTGGACCCGCAGACGGGCCTGTTTTACCGCGCTCCTCTCTCCCGCCTGCCCGTCGCCGCCACAAGACAGCCAACCGTCATCGCCTCCACCTCCACCATCACCACCACCACCTCCATCGGCACCAGTAGCACCATCAGCAGCACCATAACTGTGCAGGTCAGCGTTACAAAAAAGACACCGCCCTAGCTGTAACCACAGCAGCCAGCCAGACGATGGCCCTGTTCCGGCCCTTAATCATACGAACCAAAGTCCGGCGATCGTCCAACAGAAGTTGTTGAAACGAGAGCGTAGAAGTAGGATTAACGCACATCACCCCATGATACAGAGTCTTCGAGATTCGAGTGGTTGTAAGTACGGTACAGTAAATACAGTAACTTTTTTACAGCGGGATATTTATTTTTGTCTAGTTGGATGTTTATGCCAATTTCACAAAGTAAACAAATTTAAAACGCAAAAAAACATACAAAAGTAAACTGTTTAAAATAATGACAGTGATTATCTGGCGTTTTTGAAAATCCAGCTCCCCCCCCCCCCCCGAAGCCGCTGGATATTCTGTGATCTACTGTAATCAGAATCATAATATTTATTTACGCTGGTGGAATCCGATGAGCTGTGAAGCTCTTTTACAGATGTCCAGGAAACATCCAGTTGACAGTTTAACACATCGGCTTTCGTGACCAATATAATCCATATTAGTTTTTTTATTAGATAGCGTAAATATATAAATGTGTCGTTAAACCTGCAACCACCTGACAGCCAACCAGTAAGAGTTATCACGGAAACAGAACGTGCCAATTCGTCACTCGTACAGCACACCGGTGTGTTGGAGAGCAAAGCCACAACATTTACAATCCGAGTACGACGTTTCGCCAGTAATTGCATCTAGCTTCATCAGGCAACAGCCAGATTTGTGGAGAAATCCTCCCGTTTCGTTCCTTCACATCTCACCGCGGGAAAACCAAACCCTCTCACCTCCGCCGCCCCATCACCACCGAGGGTTAAACGCAAAAAAAGAAACGATTTCCTGCATCCCTTTTGTGGTCGTTTTATTTAAACAGGCGATAAAAAAAGTGCCAAATTGATGTCAGACCTTCTTAAAAGGTTGGGGAAACCACACGAACCACAACTGAGAACGAGAGCATTTTTTTCCTGCTTTCATTCGAATCAACGACTCTCTCTCGCTCCCTCCCTCCCTCCGTTTCTTCTTCTTTAATGCGTCTGTCTCTCCTCTTTTTTTTGCGTGTATCTTCGCGCAGCCTTTGATCACCAAGGGGGGCGCGGTCCCCAAGATAAGTTTTGCGCCGTCCGTGAACCGAGCTGAGGTGCACACCCTCTCGTGCCGGCCAGCTCTGCCGAGTCAAGGACAGAAAGCTCTGGTGAGATGATGCCACACGTGCACTCATGAGTGTGCGTGCATGAGGGTGGTGTTGGCCACCCATCCCCTTTCTTGTGCCGTGCCGGCCTTCATAGGTGGTCGCTAACAGCACTTGCCCGCAACGGTCTGTTAAGGCTAACACGGGGCGATTTTTGTCTTTTGTGTGTGTGTTGTGAGCGGCCATGGGGGAGCGGTAGGGTAGCGGTTAGCGCGCCGTGTGCTACGAACCCACCGACCAGAGTTCGATTCCCACTCGCAGTCAACACCAGTGACGATTATCCGAACCGGTCCTGAGGCTCCTCTAGGTTGACTAAGCCACAAATGAGGACCTCGTGCAATGTGTAAACAGCACTTGCCCCAACAGTCTGTTGAGGCTGCACAGGGGATCTTTGTGTGAGTACATACGGGGGAGCGGTGGCGCTGTGGTTAGCGCTCCGTGCTACGAACCCAACCGACCCGAGTTTGATTCCCGCTCATGGCCATTACCAGTGACAATTATCTGAACCTATTCTTAGCCTTCCCCGCTGGGAATACAAAAGCAGTCGGGCGCGTGGCCTACTGCCTACCTCCCTCGCTTGTGTACAGTTCCGGCCTTCATAGGGGCTCGCGAACAGCACTTGCCCCAAATGTCTGTGAAGGCTATATGGGGCTCAGGGGGGGGGGGGGGGGTGATCTTTTGTCTTTGTGGGGTGTTAGAGACTGGATATCGTGATGAGCTGTAATACACCTGGCCACGGCTAACATCGGTTAGCGAGTGATGTATGAACAGATCCTAGGTCCTAGGTGTGTACCACACTGACCGCTGTGATGAGGTGTAGTCAAGCATCCCCCTCACAACCAAAAGGCATGGGGGGGTGGGGGGGGGGCATTGTCCAGCATGGCATTCACAAAGGGCTGCAGCTAAAATAACTTAACATCAGCAGAGTTGGGCAACACTGTGCGAGACAATCTAGTGCACCGCTGACGTGGTGACTGCTGTTTTTGTAGACATGATGATATTTCCTGCCGCACCGCCCGGGATGTTCTCAGTAAACAGTAATCAGCGTAAGATTGATGAATATATTTATTTCATATTAACCTTTTTGTTTCTCAATTCCCTGCTGGATGAATGCCTCCTCGTGCCGTGTTGGTCGTGGGGGATTGTTTTTAGCCATACTTCACCACGCTCGTCAGTGTGGGTTAGTGCAGGAGGTTGGGGGGGGGGGGAGGTTTGGTAGGGGGTAGGGGCGGGCGGGTTCCAGGACCAGTTCGGATACGATTCATTCCCGATGTTAGTCGTGTCCGGCATCGAACTCAGGCCGTCGAGAGCGCAGTGTGCCACGCGTGCGCGCAATTGGACTGCGAGAAAACCGTTTTAAGTCTTATCGACCGCCGGCTCATTGCGTGCATGTGTAGCTGTGCACGTGTTCACAAGGTCGCACGGCTCCTCGTGATTTTGCGGCTGCGTCACGTTCCGTCGTTGCCTTCGTTTCACTTGGCCAAGCTCGCCCCACGAGACTCGCCACTTCGAAACGGCACCGAAAACAACGATAACTCTCCGCCACCGCCCTCGCACCATTAGCCGCACTCTTCTTGGTACCCGAGGTGAATGGCGCCGCGGCGGCGCGAGATGTTAACTCCCTCGCCTGGTCCTCAGGAAGGGTGTGCGTTCGATCCCGACCCTGATGCCTGTACGTTTGGAGTTTGCGTGTTCTCCCCGTGGTCGTGTCGATTTTTCTCCATGCCCTTCGGTTTTTCCCTCCACATTTAGAATGAATGAACGTGCGCTTCAGAGTATTTGGCTGATATACATTGCCACGTGATGAGCCACTTTGTTGAGCTGCCATTTGTGGCCGAGTCGCTTCTGAAAAAGAGCTGCATAGCTCAGGTGGGGCCTTACCTGGTCAGATAAAAAATCGTGTTGTGTTTAGTTTGAGAACGTTTTGAACCTGGCCGCAGTGCCCCACGCTAGTGAGCGCTCGGTCACTAGCGTCGCTCACTGCGGAGGTCTCGTCGCACTCCGGTCGGCACGGGACGTCGGTTTTTGACTGCGGTGTGCATTGACGGATAGCGCCGCGGTGCATGTCAACGTGTGATTGCCCGCCAGAGTTTGTTTTTTGTTTTTCGGAAAGTCCCATCCAGCCCGAGGGACAGGAAAAAAGGTTCCCCGCTCGCGACTCACGGAAATGTTTACGGCTGCAGGCGGGGGCTCGCGCGACAGACATCCTGCGGATGTCGATGCTGGAAGCTCGCCTGGACGTGAGCGAAGCGGCCAGGGAGGCCGCTGCCGCAAGGGCGGCGGCGGCGGCGGCGGCGGCGGCAGCGGGCAAGGGGGGGGCAGGGCACGGGCAAGGTCAGGGAGCGGTGACAGCCGTCGTCGGCAGTGGGGGCGCGGCGGGAGACGAGAAGAAAATAATAACCGGGCGAATTATCGACCTGCAAAAGTCTGGCGTCCTCAGGTGAGGTTGCGTGCGTGCCTCCCTCCACGGTGAGAAGGCGTGTGCGTGAACGCGCGCGGTTCTTTTGTTAATCGTTTGGTAGTGGCGTGCGCGGCAAATTTTTCATCTTTGGGCAAAATTTGGACCGTTGACGCCGGCATGTAATGGTCCACTCGCGCGCACGCGTCACAGCGATTATTTAGCGTCCCTTGGTGTTTGCGAATAGTTCGTGGACCCATCTTCTTTGGTTCTTTCGGTAAAGTCACGTAGAATGAGAATAAAATAATAAATTAATAAAATAAAATAACACAATAAAATTCTCACGACGTTTCGGCCACAACACAATTCGTGGACCGTTCACGTGTGAGGGAGCGTATGCTCGTTCAGTTAGATTTTTTTATATTTTATTTTATTCAGCAGGAAGGACTTAATGAGCTCTTAGACTCTTCTTCATGGGCATCCTGCGACGGTACAGATATTATATTCTTAGCTCTTTCGGTAAAGTCACGTTGAAAGGAAACAATAAAATAATAAAATATATATAAAACAATAAAAATTCTCACGACGTTTCGACCATAACACAAACGGTCGTCATCAGGTGTGTCGGTTTGCATTAATAAATTTATTTTAAAACGGTGTATTTATTTATAAAAAACGTCAGTGCCACGCACAGCGATTTGGCAGTTTATTTAGAAGGACTAGTCCATCTATGTTCTGAAAAGAGGAGGGGGGAGACGAAAAATTTAATGTATGCTGTCTGAAAGCCACTGTAAGCGTGAACAATCAATTAAGACCTGAAATGGTTTATCAAATCTTTCCAATGATTGCTAAGCCAGAATCCATCTTCTCGGTTGAAATTGTCTCTGTGCTTGTATATGTGATGGTACAGATATTATATGGTGCAGATGTTATACAGGACAGATCTTAGTTATAATCAAGTTACAATGAGTTTCAGCATTTGCTGCATTGGCCGTCCACAGCTTTACGAGGCCTTCATCCTGCAATGGATTGACAAAAGGCTGTAGATTTATATTATCATCATTGTTTAGCTATATACTGCACTGGCAACAGTTTATAAACAATTTTTAAAGGCAACTAAATGTCAAAAAACACTGCAGTAATCGTAGGAATACAAAAACCGCCGCTAACCTCCCGGTTATTCCCGTACCTCACCAAAATAAAGTGGGGAGCAAGGCATGCTGGGAGTGCGACTGGTGCCGACCACGGCGCGGGCATCCGGGAAAACGGGCGACATCGCCATCACCGTGGGCGACATCGTCCCCCAGGTGAGCGCCGCACCGCTCCATCAGCACACCCCCTCTACACCAGGGCCGCTCCAAACCCCCTTTGCCCGTCGCATCGCCCCTATCGGGGGGACCGGTGGCTCAGCGGTCGAGTGATTGGCGGTCGACGTGAACCGTCGTCACCTCTGGGGTCGATGGAACGAGTCGTAAGCGGTTGTCCCTTTGGATGGACTCGCCTCCCCCGTAGAAATGTGGCATTTCCACCACCACGATTACTCTTTACTCCTACTACTATTTATGTTTATCTTACCAGGTAAGGCCCACTGAGCTAAATGGCTCTTTTTCAGAAGCGACCTGGCCATAAATGATGGCTCAATGAAGCGGCTTATCACGTGGGCATTTATAGCAGCCAAATACTCTGAAGCGCACGTTGACTCTAAATGTGGAGGGATAAACTGGAGGAACCAGAGAAAAATCCACGTGACAACGGAGAGAACATGCAAATGTACAGGCGTCAGGGTCGGGAATGAACCCATGACCTCCTGTATACCAGGCAAGGTAGTTCACATCTCGCCACCAGCTTAGTGGAGGACTACAGTTTGAGAAATGCTACTCCTCAACAGTGCAAATGAAAAAGTAAACGTGTCAAATCGGTTACGCACAAGTTACTCCATTTTTAATTAACATAAACATCGCCTTCAGTTAATGCAAAATACTGCATGCGTCAAGCATGCTTGGTGACGTAAAGTTAGCTTGCTGTACAGCACGCCCATAAATGATGTATCGTACATTATTAAACAATTATAATTACCCCGGCGGTGGTGGCGATGCGCACCTGTAATCCAGCACTGTGGAGGCTTGACAGGTAAAGGCGGTCCAGAAAAGTGTGGACAAGTGTGGACTGGTATCGTCTATCCCTACATCTATAAACACCAATTAATTGGCTGAAAGCATCTTAATGTATATAGAGGACCGCAGAGCTTGGGAAATTGTAGGTAGTCCCGGCTCACTTCCTGGCTGCATTACATCTTGTCGTGAGATGCCATTTGCACATTGTCACAACATAATATAACGAGCCTTTTGGCCGTCCAAGGACGGGTGTATTGCAGTAAATCTGAAACTTGCAAGCGAAAAGCAGAGCGAGACGTGATATTCATTGCATCAATTTGTGTGCAATTTGTAAGGGCGCGGTGACACAGACCTATTTCATTTAAAAGTTATAATCCCTTGTTCATCGTGACGTCCTTTTTACTTTGATGTCTCAACAGCGTCACAGAGATCACGTGACGTGAGGGTTCTGCCTTTGCCGTGAGGGTTGTAAGTTGACGCCGAGGAGGGGGCAGGAGGCGCTTCGGCCCCCCCCATGTGGAGTGACGTCAGCCGCTAATTATTATGAATGGGGGAGGGGGGCTGTTCACTATGGAGTGACGTCACTTGCTCATGATTATTAATGAGGGGGGAGGGTGCTCCATATGGAGTGATGTCACCAGCTCATGATTATTAATGAGGGGTGGGGGCAGTGCCCATTTGGATGACGTCACCAGCTCATGCATATTAATGAGGGGCGCTGGTCGTTGTGGAGTGACGTCACGAGCGTTAATGACAGACGTTATTGGGTGATTATATTAGGTATGATTGTAACGAGCAATTTGAAAAGGAGACCGCAAAAACTATAGGCAAACAAAAAACACGGCACTCCGCGCGTGCTTCGTCTGCGTCGGCAGCGACTGGCCGGCTTCCCGATCGTCTGCGGGGGGACCATGCTGATGAGCACCAGCGGCGGTCGAAGCAGCCCGAGCGTCAGCAACTCCAGCGTCGCCGGCGGTGCTGGCGGTGGAGGCGTCGGCGGCGGTGTCGCTGGCGGCGGCGGCGGCAACGAGGGCGGGGCGAGGGGGCCAGCGGGTTCAAGCGGCGCCAGCGTCGTGGTGGAGCCCAGCGGGCTGCTCAACGTGACCGCCTTCACCAGCCAGCGCGTGCGCGAGGACCCCTTTGGGCGGCCGAGGGAGTCGCCCGACACGGCCTCGGATGACGACGTCGACGAAACGTGATGTTTGCTTCGCGTCGAGCGCCCGGGGAGCGTGGTACCTGTGAGTGCGTGCGCGTTACGTGCGAGTGCGTGTGCGTTACGTGTGCGTTACGTGCGAGTGCGTGCATTGAGCACCAGGTGTGTTCCGTGCGAGTGAGTGCGTTGAGCACCAGGTGTGTTCCGTGTGAGTGCGTGTGCGTTACGTGCGTGTTACGTGCGTGTTACGTGCGAGCGTGTGCGTTGAGAGCCTGCGTGTTACCAGCGAGTGCGTGTGCGCATTTGTTGGATTTTTATTACTAACCGACCGCCACTGTTATTAAAAGTACTTTTTTACGTTTTCAGTTATTTTATTAAATGCCTTCGAGTTGATTTGGCACCACGCACGCACAACGCGCGCGCCAACGGTAGGAAAGTACGACTCTTATATGTACCCAGCCTACACGCATCTTGCTTTTGTGCGACGGCGTTTGCTCATCACTTACGTAAAGTGTTTGCAATTGAATCTCCGAGTTGATGGGCTTTTTTTCGCGTCATATTATATTTTATTGAAGTGCGTTAAACAGTGGTCATTGCTCATCATTCACTCACGGAAGCCCTTTAATGTTCTGACAAAAGGTATCTTGCCGTGTTAGGCTATGGGGAAATGCGTAATGAACGAAGGTCAAGACGCCATCACTGCCGGTGCCGTTGACTCCAGCGCACCTTCCGCCGTCCTGCCAGATCCCGCAGCAGTTGCAGGGTCGACATCCAAAATTCCAAGGTGCGATGAAACGCTCGACCGAAGCAAAGCAGATCTGTAATGTCGCGGCAAATTTTTAAGTCGGCCATCTCATTGAAATGCGAAATTGTCCTTTGGTAATCACGTTGTTCTCATTGCGTTCCAATGTGGGCGGTAATACAATGAGGTGTGGATATATTTGCAGCAGCATTTAAATCCGACCCATATGGTCAAGACACTGTACGGAAACCAGTTCTAAGAGTAGACAAAGTGTCAGAGTGACGGAAACTAGGCTGGCTGGCTGGTAGTGTGTAGGAGTACATTTTCAACAGCAACAAAAAAATGAGTCAACTCGCGGTACCGACTAATAAAATCCCTGTGAACTCGTGGTGCGGTCGCTGCATTCATTCTAAAGAGGACGAGTTTGCCAGCTTCTGGTGAACATCACAGGAAAAATAACAATTCGTGCGGTTTACTTCACCCCCCGCCCCGACCAACGTCTTAGTGACGGTGCGAGAGATCGCATTGCAAAGGTTTCCTGAGCGTGTGATCAATGGGGGGAAAGTGTTCGCGACGAGCTGCGTAAATATTCTGGCAAGCTAACGGAATGAGTTGGCCTTCCTTGTTCCTCTGCCACTTTCCGATACAACTCTGTTGTCTTGAGTTTAGTCGCATTTCCCGTGCTTTATAGATAGTACGATGAAGGCACTGATGATCTTTAAAGCTTTTAAATAAAACCCACAGAGGCATTCGGCACGTGGAGCTGCTCCATGTCTGTGTCATGATGACGTAGCATTAAACTTTTTCTGGCTATACTCAGATTTAAGTGTGAATTTTTGAGTTGCCTTGCAATGGTGGTTGCTTTGTCAATGCATTGCTGGATAGAGACCTACCTATCAGGGTTGCCATCACCTGTCCAGGTTTGACCTGGACAGATGGCCTGGACAGTCCAAGAATTGGAAACTTAAACTAAACTTTTTATTTTACCAGGTAGGGCCCATTGAGCTGTGTATAGCTACTTTTTAGAAGCGACCTGGCCACAAATGATAGCTCAACGAAGTGGCTTATGTGGAAATGTATAGCAGCCAAATACGCTTGAATGGACGTTCATTCTAAATGTGGAGGGAAAAACCGGAGGACCCGGAGAAAAAAACCATACGTCCACGGGGAGAACATGCAAACTCCAAATATACGAGCGTCAGGGTCAGGATCGAACTCACGACCTCCTGTATACCAGGCGAGGTGGTTAACATCACGCCATCGTGGCGCCCGTGTCCAGATGGCAGGATTGAGTTCTAAAGAGATCTGGTGCCGGCATTGTGTTGAACGGTTTTGAGAATAGACCTCGTGTGCTGCCGACTGAGAAATAATTTCGGGTTGCGTCTTGCCATGGGAAAGTTGGCAACCCCACTGTGCCCCCGTTCCGTATTGGACGTGGTAGTTGTGTTACCACCCTCTACCACATTGCTGCTAGCCCTGGCCTGCGTTCAAATTCAGGTCGGTGGGTTCATGGTGCGGTGCACGAACCACTGTGCCACCGCTCTATCCGCAAGGAACACGGAGAGAGTAAAATTAGAAACGCTCAGAATTTGAACAATCGAGCACACAGTGGTTTGATTGGGTAAACAAATCTCATGGGGACATTGCATCGACATAACAGATGTACAGGCGGTTTTCTGAACGCATTGTCAAAACACAAAAAAAGATCAAAGTGATTGATTTCCTGCTCAAAGCCTCCAGGGAGTGCTCATCCATTTACAGCCCTGAGCCAGTGGTGGCGTTTCCACATTCCTATGGCAGGGGCGGAGGGGGGTGGGCAGGTCTCTCCACAGGACGCCCACTTCACAAAGTGGTACTCATTCTCACGACCCTGAAGCGATGATGGGTTAAGTCAACCCCGCAACCTAGGGTTTGAACGCGCAAACTTCCAATTGCGAGCCGCTCGCTCTTCTGCTGACCCACCAGGTTGGCTTCATACACGAACACATGGTTGAGTTTTTTTGATAAAGCATACACAATGCCTTTTCAGAAATATATTTGATCTGAGACTATGCAATCTCTATTTGTGTACAAGCTTCGACTGCTGCGATTAATTTACTGCCGTATTCACAAGTGTCTCATTCGAACTACCTTTGCAATGCTATAGGGGCAATGCTGCCATGTTGACCTTCGAACTTTAAGGAATGCAAATATTTGCGCGAGAATTTGGACTTCAGCCATCTTCAAATATCAACAGAAAAAAAGGCTCGAAGAATGAATACAGTGTCCAAGAGCGCCGACGGTACCCCTTAAGAGTCCGAGTGTTCAAATCGAGGATTCCAGCCGCCCGTCATTAACCCTGGCTCTCAAGTGTAGCGAGTTGATCGTTTCAGCTGGGTCATCGTTGGCTGCACACAAAAAAAAAACTGTCAACTATATCTCGGGGTCACCGCTTAATTTGGCTATGTTCCATCTCTTGGGGATTACACATTTTTTCCCGTTTGCTACGCGACGTAGTGTGTACAGGGCATGTGAAAGGTGTGGCCCTTTTGGCTAAAGTGGCCAATTGAGGTGACCTTAAGTATTTCAAGCGGAGCGAGTCTGTGGTCTCAACCCAGTTTTTCTCGGGTTAAATATTTCTGTTGCAGGGCGCTGCGGTGGCGACAATGTTAACTACCTCGCCTGGTACACAGCAGGTCGTGGATTCGACCCCAACCCTGACACCTGCTGCTGTATATTTGAAGTGTGCACGTTCTGTCTCCCTGTGGTCGCGTGGATTTTTCTCCGGGTCCTCCCGTATTTTCCCTCCACAATTAGAAAGGTGCGTTCAGAGTATTTGACTGCTATACATTTTTACGTAATAAGCCACTTCGTTGAGCTATCATTTGTAATAGCCAGGTCGCTTCTACAAAAGAGCGATATAGGTCAGTGGGGCCTGAGCTGGTATAATAAAAACATTCCTGCGGAGGGAGCTGGTAGGAACGTTGGGTTGCTCGGTCAATGGCCAGGGTCAACGGCGGCGTGGTGTATTCCGCAAATATGCCCGACTGTGAGGGCGGGCACAAGCCGGCGTGAGTAGGTTAAACGGTGAGTTTATAAGGGCACCACGGGGTGACCAGCCCCTCACCACCCAGCCCCACCCCACCCAGCCCCACCCCTCCCACCCAGCCCCACCCTCCCCACCCAGCCCCTCCCTACCCTCCCCTCTCCACCCAGCCTAACCCCTCCCACGTGGACAGACATTCACAGACATACACAATTAAATCCCCTGCCTCCTGTGAATTAATCCCGGTTGGGCTTCCAGTCCACTACGTTTCCTACCAGTAAAAATATAGTTTAGTTTGATCGTTTCGAGTAACACTTTGCAGGCCATTTTAAATAAAGACGATCCTCGTGAAGGGACTTCTGTAACCTTCTGTGACCTTATCTTTTTTGGGTCGTTCTCTAACGTGGGTGCGAATGCCGATGTGATGACGAAGAATTTTGAAGTCCGTCGTCGCCACACGGGCGGGAACTTTCCTCTCTCGCGATGGGCTTCTCGCTAGTTTTACTGGTGTGGTTTTCGGAATCGTTTAAAGTTGAGCTCTTCTGGGAAACGAAGGCGCTTTTTGATTCAATAGAACACAAACTCTGGCTGTTGTGGGAACGTTGTGGCCAATCGTCGGGGAAATCTAAAAAAGGGACCCTTCTGGTTGTTTTTTCCGCTGCGCTCCCCATCTTTTGGAGCGAAAAAAAAAGTTTGCTAAACAAAAATTCCCCCGGGCATCCATTCGAAAGAACCCCCACCGGCAACCGTGCGAAAGATTTTCCGCAACCCTGTGACCTATTTCACTGGAAGCGTTTTCACTGGCGGCGTGGGATTGTCCATAATGACCGCAATTAATTAACAAAAAAATACCGGTGCTTTTCCCCGGCGTGACCTCCGATGAGCACGGTTGGCTACGTACGGTGCCAAAGAAGTATACCACGTGTACCTGCATGACTTAGGGATTTGCTGCGGTGACGGGCACGGAGATTATCTGTTGGGAAATGATGTCGGCGAAACGAGCGCTGCGAGTTGGCGCTGCAGGGTGGCTCGGTGGGATCACTCGTGCCTCTCAGCAAGAAGCCCGAGGTTTGATTCCTGACTCGGGTGCCTCTCTGCGTACAGTACTTTGAACGTTCTCGTCCCTGTGCTGTATGGCTTTCCTCCGGGCTGTCCCGTTTCCTGCCATAAAAAAACACACTGTGACTGGTATTGGCCAAACGTCCCACTGCCGAAAACAATTCCTGCAGTTACTCAATTACGATTACACAATGCAGCATCGCTCCCCTACTGCAAAAAAACTTGGCAGGACCGTCCTCAAAAACTTTAGGCTTTTCTGGGTAAACCAAGTGCAATAGTAATTAACTCAAACTTTTAGGTAACAGATTTTAGTGGCAAGTGGGCACTGGGTTTTCACACGCTTAATTATTGACAATGTTTATCAATTTGGTGGTGTCTCTGTTTTTTTTTATTATAAATAATCATGCATGTGTTCTCTAAATAGTCCAGTTTGATGGGACACTTGGCTAGGAGGGGTGATGTCTGATGGTCAAGAGTGGTGGTCGAGGAACGGAACGCGTCCGATGGAACATCCAACCTGGCAGTGGATGAACCATGGTGGTTATTTATAACCAGGAGGGCGTGACACATTTATTTTCACCCAAGCAGGTGCTGGCTAAAGTATTGGCCCCTGGGGATAGAGTCGGCATGTTTGGGTGACACTAATGCCCGAGTGGGTCATGGCGCAGACACCTGGGCTGGAGTGATTGGAAGGCATGGGGCAGATCAGCTCAATAACAATGGCAGAAGGCTGCTCTTCTTCTGCGTGGCTCCGTGAACTTGTGATCACCAACGCGCTGTTCCGGCACCGGCGCAACCACAACCTCAAGGATGCACGCCGGGTCGAAGCAAGAACAGCTCCTGGACTACACAGTGACAAACCCCTTGCCCCGGTCCCGACAGGCGTTCACAACCGTGTCACGGCACCTCAGGTGGCCAGCCTAAAATGGGCTTTACCCGGTAAAAATTAATCAAAAGTTTATTTTTGTTAGTGATGTGCTCACCTTTCCTATACATCGCACTCATATGGTAGTTGTATTGTTTGTCGTAGTAACGTTCTGACCCAGCCCCCTACTGGACATCTGGAAAAAAAATAACTCTATAACTCATCGGATTCCCATCAGTACAAATACAAATTCTGATTCTGTAAGAGCCCACGATATGTAAAAGGGCATCGTCACACTGCGCACAGCACCGCGTGGGTTGCGATGCCTCCTCTTCCTCCGAGGAAGGAGCACGCACAGCCGATGCGTAAATGATGCATCGTGGCTCGTGAGTAAACACCGCAGCTTCGCCCCCTCTGCACCCTGCATCCCCGTTCTCTCTTCCAACATTTTTTTTTTACACAAACATGGCACAGAAACTCCAGACACGGTTGTGATGGGAACCTGCTGTTATTTGAAAACAAATTGCAGTTGTGGGTCAACGCAACAAAAATGCCAGTGCAAATGTTATATAAAATACGCAGAAGCTATGAGACATAGGCAAATTGTATGGAAAGTATGTTCAACGTGTTTCGCACCGTATGTAGCCAACCGTGCTAAGCGGGGGGGGGGGGGGGAGACACAAAATTGGTGTCTAGACAACGTGGCCTGCCAAGTCTCCCCTCTTTGGCCAGGTGTGCGATTGAGTTCATTCATGATGTTTATTACAAACGTGACTGGCTTTGGCTCGGCGTTGTAAGTTAGAATTCGGCTCATTCATGGAAAAGGCCCTACGAGGATTAACGCTTCAATGTTGGGGAAGAAGAAG